GCGGTCGGGTCGGTCGGGGCGGTAGGCGCCCTCAGGTCTGCGGCTGATCTGCCGCCGGGATTTTCGGAGGGTCATGAATCAGACCGACGCTCCCCGGCCGCTCAACTGGACCATCCGGAAGCTCTGCCATGCCGCCTTCCTCCCCTCCGTCAGGCTCCTTAAGGTAGGGTGACAGCCCGCTTTGGGAACCGGTGTCTGCCCCTCAGCATCCGCCCGCAGGACTGCGGACGCTGTTGCTAGAAAGTTAATTCAGAAATAGTTCCAACTTCGCTGCTAATTAGCTGCCCTGCTACCTTTAAAAACCCCATGCGAGTACCTGAAGACACCAAAATCATGTGTCCGTACTCGGATTCGGCACGTTTACCTGCCGAGAAAGGTCTGTGTGCGGAGTAAGAAGGGAGTAAGGGATGGTGGGTGTCGTCTGTGCTTCTCTTTGCCTTGTCTTAAAAAAAACCAAGCTGTGAACATCTGGGGAGGGAGAAGGGGTCTGTTTCTAAGGTGTGTTCCTTTTTTTGTGAGCAGTTCTCTGCTGTCTGTTCTTTGGGGTTATCTAGCCCCTAGGAAATACCCGAAGGTCCAGTGCTACTGAGACCAACTTGTAAGTGGAACACTGTGTGAGCAGACAAAAATTATCTTGGTTTGTTGAAAGCTGTGCATAGGAACAGGGCTGGTTAAAGACTGGCAGTGCAGACAGCATCAGTGAAACTTTCTGGTGATGATTTTCTGTTTGTTTGAACCAAGTGGCACAGTTTTGAAGGTGCTTTTGAAGGTGTTCTTCGGTGTGCTTTCCTAGGAGATAATTATTTGGAAAAATTGTTTGGGATTATAGACTCTTGGAGGGCTCTTAATCTCAGCACGCAAAGGACTGCTACTACTGCATGTCCCAGTGAAGCTGTTTGAGAGGCATGTGTAACTGGAAGACAAAATACCTTGAATCAACGTTTTGGCAAAAAAAAAAAAAAAAGAGGTTACATTAAACTGGAAAGTCTTCTTTCTTCTTGGAATGTCTTAATGTATTGGATTACACAACGAAAATTTAAAGAGTATAGCCAGGTCCCTCTAGGCTTCTGCACCTGTAACATGTTTTATAAAATGTTGGATGCATGACACTAATTATCTCAGTTCACCTTAGCACTTGATAGTTTGGCTTTGATATTAATATGCAGCCAGGTAAAACATGGCTACTCTAACAGTGTATGAGAATGTAATGTTTGACATAACCATTTGATTATATGCGTGTGTAGCTTCGAAATTAGGTCAGTCCTTAGTAATGCAACATATCTGAACAGTAGGGTACTGTATGATAGTGCACTTAGCAAGCATGTTATCGCATGTATAGTTATTGTCTGCATGATGCACAAGTGACCATACGGGGTATCATAACAGGTATTTGTCAAAACCTGACAGGAAGGGGCTACCCTAGAAAAGTATTTCTGTCTCCAAACCAGATTTATAGCTGCTGGGAGGCACACTGTGAGCAGCTCCAAAGAACAGAAGCAAGATAAACCTTAAATTGCTGAAAAATCAAAATATAACTAATACAGAACAAATCAGAAAGTGGTTGTCGATTCTCTTGCAAAGGCTTCCCCCCCAAACCCACCCAGAAGCACACATTAGAATATCTATACTCTACAAGTCAGATACATTTAGAAAAACATAATTTTCCTGAGGTGTGAGAACTCAGATGTGGGGAATTTTATTATCATTCTCAATATCAGGAAAAAAAAAATCTGCAATATTTCTTTTTCTGGCAGACATATGTTGCCCCCTGTGTATGGTTTCTCTTCATTGCATGTTTTAAGGGTGAACGTTGCAATTAATTATTAAAAGAATGGACTAAAAATGATTTTCTGAAGCTACAGCTATAACCTTTTAGGGCCAGATACGGAGTGGACCCTGCAGAGTTAACAAGAGCAGGGCAAATAACCAGACGTAAGCAACCCCTTCGCGGAGGGGTGTGTGAGGTGTGGGAGAGACCACAGCGAAGGAGGTGGGACTCTGGCACCTTCCTGAGCTGATGAGCAGAGCTGGTTGATTGGAGAGGGAAATGCATATATCAGCACCTTCAAGGATCTCAATAAGCTTAACATTTTGCTTCCAATACATACTTCTTATCTTTGTCTTTTGTTGTTTAACATGTCCAAAGGAAGTGATTCACACAAGAGCTTGTCCTAATTCCCCAAAAGATGGAATAGGCAACCTGACGGGATTCTCCTGTCATGAAAAGCTATTAGGGAAA